TTTTTTTTTCTATCATTGTAGTTTAATTACTTAAACACAAGTGGGTGAAAAATACTGATTATGAAACTGTAAGAATGTAAAAGTAAGATAGAAAGGTGAATGTTTTTGAGAATTATCATCCGGATCTAATAACAAATGGTTGTGAGTTCTGAAATTTAAAGGTATATTGCCGAATTTGTTGTATTTCATTGATTGCAACTCTCACATTACATGTAACATAAAGACAGTTCATTAGGCTTTTTACAGAGTTTTATTCTTCAGATTGAAAACAAAGATATGCAGTTGTTTGTCATCACAGCTACAAAAACTGATGCAATGGTTACATATTTGTCTTTTTAGTGCAGGTTCCACAAAAAAATATAATAGTTATAATCTTCAAAACTCTTAAAAAAATTCTTAAAATAGAAAATTGATCACAATTGTGTTTAAAAAGTGGCTGTTTGTAGCAGAACATCCAGGCTGCTCTTTTCCATACAATGAAAGCTAATAGTGACCACGGCTGTCATGCATGATTTTTTTTTTCAACCTAAATTTCTCTGTCTTCCTCACACAAACTTATCAAATGACTTCAAAATACTTGGAATGAAGTGTGCAAATTATATAGACTATTTTTATGATCCTTTTATGTTGCTTCTTTGTCCTTTTGGAGTTTGACAACCTCTGGTCCACTTTCATTGTATGGAAGTTATGAACTTCAGGCAACGCCTTTTTGCGTTCAGTGGAAAAAGAGAAAGCCATGCATGTTTGGAACAACATAGAATTTTCATCCTTGAAAGAAAGTGAAAATAACTAAAGGATATGATAACGGATGCAAGTGGCTGATCAGGACAGTTGGCCACATCATTTCTGACCTCTATCTCCTTTAAAATGATTCAACTATGTTTAGTCACCTCGCAGTTGTGATGTTATTGTATCCCGCTGCTGCCGGAGTCACGGGTTATTAATTTGCTCCTCATCTAGTTTTGAGCAGTCAGCCTTTGTAAACGAGCTGCGGTGTTGCTCTGTACATTGTATAATTACACAGTTGGGAGTTAGTGTCGAGCCCTGTGGTCTTGCCACTCCTGCTTCAGCATCAGCGTCATCATTAATGCTAAGCATCATCAACTCTACCATTATGAGCCTGAGTGTCTATCTAATGTCTCCCACTTTATTCCCTCATCTCACAGCTTTAATCCTCAGAATGTGCTGCTCCTGTTCCTCGGGTTATGTTGTCTGTCAGTGGTGACAAATGTAGTCACATAACATAAGAAAAGAATATATTTATCAGGAGATTTTCAGTATTGCTGTCTTTATAGTGCTATTTTCGGGATTGTGCTGTATGCATGAACAGTGAGCCATGGGGTATTGGTGTGTTTCAGAAACAGAGCAGAAAGCTGTATCTGTTTTGAGTCTGTGTAATATGCGCTATTAGTTTTTATTTGTTCTAGGTGACCGGCAAAATGGCCGCATTCTTTTTCAAAGAAACTTCTAATGCTCACCAAGGCTGCATTTATTTCGATCAACAGTACGGTAAGAATAGTAATATTGTGAAATATTATTACAAATTCAAATAACTGTTTTGTATTTTGATATATTTTAAAATGTAATTTATTCCTCTGCTGGCAAAGCTGAATTTTTCCAACAGTCATTACTCCAGTCTTCAGTGTCACATGATCCTTCAGAA